GGAGGAGAGGAGGGGAGGGGAGGAGAGGAGGGGGAGGGAAGGGGAGGGGAGGAGAAGAGAGGAGGAGAGGGGAGGGGAGGAGAGGAAGAGAGGAGAAGAGGAGAAGGGAGGAGAGGAAGAGAGCTGAAGAGATAATGGTTAAAAAGTATGGGTAGTTTTAGGAGTCTTCAGATATTATTCTGAGAGTAAAAATGTTCAAATGCATTTGCCATATATTTTAGGGATAGAGTAGGTTTTGGAACATACCTAACACTTCCTACTAATTATCCCAAGCAAACTCTAAGTGCCAGCTAGCACTGACTCTCAGCGATCAGATAACAAATGGCTTCCTGCAACAAATCTCAGCAATTCAGAGGAATAGGGAAGAATCTATCATATCTACAGTGTGTCATCAGTAATCATGAATTTTAAAAAAGTTTTTTAGATTGTAGTTTTTACACATACAAAAAAAAAACCATTAAGCAGTGTTATATGGCATGAAAAATAGGGTAGAATGATGCATTGTATAAAAAGTAACATTAATATTTCCCAGAAGATACACTGGGCAGATGGGGCACTAAAGTCGTGGGTACAGACAGACTCAACGAACTCAGGGAAAACATATGTAATTAAAGAGAAACTACTCTTAAACACAGAAAAGATAGGAAATATCAGCACACTATAAACATGAAAATGGTCAAATGGAAAGTTTAGGACTAAGTAGAGCTGATTGAGATGCCAGTTAAAAATAAAAATTTTAAAAATGGGGTAGGAGATGATAGAAATAAAAACAACCTAAGTGTCCAGGAACTGATGTATGGTTTAGAAAAACGTATGTCCTGTGAAATTCTGTTCAGCCCCTGAAAAGAATGATGGGCTAGAGAGATGGCTCAATGGTACAGGCACTTGCCATCAAGACTAATAGCCTGAGCCCCACCCCTGAAACCCACGTGGTGGAAAGAGAGACTCTACTGCAGCCTGTCCCCCGATTTCCACTGGTGTGCTGATGGCATGCGTGTAAATTAGTTAATTTGCAGCATAAATGTCATTAATTAAATAAAACATTTAGTGAATGAGATTCCACTTTCCATCGACATGAATGATCTTGAAGGAAACTGGGTAAATATTACAAAGGAGGAACAGAAAGAAAAAGAGTGCATGTTCTTTGCCTCGGCATGGAATGAAAAGCAGTAGGCTTTTCTCAGAGAGCACAGAGAGGTTATGAGATGAGTATGGTGAAGGGAAGAGAAGGTAGTGGTCAGGGCTACAGTTCAGTTCACTGGTGCACGACACAGTGACCACAGGAATAACAAAGTATATGTCAAAACGGTTAAAGGACAATTTATAATGTCCTCAGCACAAAACCTTGTAAGTTGATAAGGTGTGGGATATGTTAATTACGCTGATTTGTGTCTCGCTAGCATAAAAAGCTATTATTCAACAACAACAACCAAAAATAAAAATAAGTATGTAATGTAGCAATTTGTATTTAGTTTGGTATAATTTCACTCTGTACAAACAGCAGACTACACCCAGAAATACATACAGTTTTAAAAAACCAAACTAAAAAGTCCTTGTTGGTTCATGCAGCTTTCTGGAATTGTGTCTATAGCAAGATTACAAGGATGAGCCAATAGATGAATTTTATGAGCTTTTTAGACAGCAACACTCATCTAATTCTTAGCTTGAATGTCACTGTCTGGAGTTGACAGATATTTCTCCAGCCATGGGTAGGTACAAATTGTTCACTTTCTCTCTTCCTTTTTCAGACATATTTTATTCCCATTAGCCACTTGTATGAAGGCTTTGAAAGAAAATGTCCTAACATTAAATATAATATATGGCACAAAATCGGACTTGCCATTACTGCCCAAAAGATCCGGGAACACTTATCTTTTGAGGTAAGAGGGGTCTTTCTGAATTCTTTCTACCCACCCCCTCCCCCAGAAAACCTGCATAGACATAACAGCAGAAACTGGCTGTGAGCTATTAACAGACATGAAGCTGTGCTTCTCCTTAAGGACTGGAACTATAAGATGCAGTTGAAACTCTGCAATGTCTTCATCAGGGATATACCCAAGACCACGAAAACCGACATCTACGATGAAACCGTAACCCATGTGGTCCTCATCCATGGAGCTGCGGAAGACTGCCAGTTGCGAAAAATTTATAAGGCACCCTTCCTAATTCCTGTGACATGCTACCAGGTACAGAGATAGGCCTTACGCCAAACAATGCTTTCTGCTTTCCCGTCTCCTCCTTTCCTCCCTCCACCCCATTATTCCATACTTATCCACACCCACGTGCACAGTGTTCATTCATTGCTTTCACACTCAACGGCCTAGCCACAAGCTTTTTCTACCCATTGCCAATGCCAATGAAACACGGCAAGATATAGATTTGTGGCCATAGTTGCCCTTTAGTGCAGTGCAACCTAGAAAAAAGAGGACCCTCTAATTGCATCCATGCATTTCAAAAGGATTGGATCAATAGTACTGTAGGAGATCATGACAAACCCCATTAAATAGAGTGGCAGATGTTTGCCTCCAACCCAGAAAATGAAACCAGAACTGAACACTTTCCTATTTAAACTGTTTTGATTTCAAAGAACTCTTTGCTCCATAATCCTTGGTTTCCTAGCAACCGCAGCCTGCCTGTCTCCTTAGTTTCACCTTAGCCTTTGGCTCTTCATAGCATTTTTCGATGCATCAGCCACCCATCACCGTCTTAGCTTCTTATGATTTCTACCTTAGTTATTCTCTGCAACTATTCAGTAGCCTCTCTGCTGCTGCCACTCCCATTGCCACGACCTTAGCACTAGAACGCTCAGGTCCTGTCTACTCTTTCCTCGGCTAGCTCTGCTGGCTGTATTTCCCACAAGTAGGAGAGAGCATTTGAACCTTATGTTCCAGTGCTAAAGGAGAATATACACGAGAGGGGCCTCCTAGGATGACTTTAAGAGACTGACAGATAGCTCATTTACTGAAAGGGTACAGGGCCCTCTTGAAGTATACTAATTACAGTCCTGTGTGTACATGGCTTCCAGTTCTACCAATAACAAGCCCTTTCACATGCACTAATCATGTGTCTTTTACGTCCTGTCACAAGCTTTGTATTACCCCAATCACAAGTGACTTTGTCCAGAGCCACTGGGAAGGCCTCCCTCTCCTCCCCTCTCTGATAATAGCTGCAGGATGGACATGGTCCCCACAGTTGACAGAGGCTTGTTTTGCCTGGAGTGGGATGTTGTAACATTGATACAAGCTGCTTGTAGAGGTAGATGATTAGAGAGTCAGAGCCAGGTCTCCCTGAAGCAGCAGGAACTGAAGCTTGAACAGCAGTTGTGGCTGCTACTAACAGCTCAAAAGAGGAAAAGACACTAAATGATGCTTACAATAAACACTTTTGTGGAATGATCATTCTCAACAGCACTTACCTGGTTTAATCCTTACCCAAACATTCCTAAGAAGGACTTTGAGCAATATTTTAAAGATGCATTATTGATAGTGACCCACCTATCATTAATTATATAAAAGGCAGACTTTGGCAATTTCTAATGTTTATCAAGAGAAATATGTCTCAAGTGCTGTTAGAATAAGCAGCAGGATAATTAGTGTGCCTTGGTCTTCAGTTGTTAAAAAGAAAGCAAACTGTACTAGCGTGGTTTTTATAAAGTCTGTGTGAAATGACATGCCCAAATGTGTCAGGGAAGGAAGGGTGTATGTGCAGAACCAGGCATTGTGACTAATATTGGTCATCCCAGCAGTCAGAAGGCTGAGGATTAAGAATACTGGCTTGCCAGAGCAATGTGTACTTGCATAACCTTCGTTCAAAAATTGATGTCTATTCTGTCAACTTTCAGATACAAGGCATTGAAGACTTCACCAAAGTGATGATCATTCAAACTTCAGTCGCTATAAGAAAATTCCGGTGGAACGTAAGAAAGTACATCCCACCTCGTAAAGTCTCTGTCAAGCCAGATCTTAAAAGTGAGTTAGGTGTCTTGGACATAACTGTAAGAATGTACTTTCTTTTATGAAATAGTGATAGCATGTATTCTGCCTAGAGTATGGAGGGCCTCTTTAAGCTGCCATGTTTGACATGTCAAAGTTCCCATCGGTTCGTGGTTCAGAGGCTGCCATCTGTTTTGGTTTTTTTTACCTGCTTTCTTCTTCGCCTGCTCTATGGCTCTAGATTTGTATGGGGGTTGGAAGATGGAGGTGGGTATAATTTCATGGAAACCTTGGGCCAAGTGGGCTTTGGTTTTACCTCATGGCATCTAGGAGGCAAAGAGAAACCAGAAACAGCCAGGAAAATATACTCCACACACGCCTGGGTAAGGGAAAGAAACAGGAAACAAACACTGGCACTGGTCAGTATCCTTAAGTACCTGCAACTTCATATCTCTCCTGCAGCCTTTTTTTCCCCTCTCTCCACATCCCAGTTTTCTTTTCTTACTCTCCTTGCCCAGTAATTTAAAGCACCCAATCAAATTGTAAGTAAGTATGTATATGAGACAGAAAAGCCAAAATTTTATATGAAGCTCTGCTTCATTATATTCTGGGCTTGGACTCTGTGACAACGTTTGGAGAAGCCTATGGATGGTACAATTGAATACTCCTGATAAAAGAAGTTTTGGGGTCCTGCTTCTTGGACTTGAATGCCTGCAGCCCTATAGACCTAGCAATTCCTGGAAACTTTTGCACAGACACACCAGAAAATATACTTTATTAACACTGTCTGCCACAGGTGTCCTCTGTCCAATCAAGTTACCTTTTGGTGGAAACCAAAATCAATCATCCCAATCTCCAATATCCAATATCAGAGTTACACTTAGAAATATTTATGGTTCATCGATGAGTATAAGCCTACATAATTATCAAAATAATGTAAAAAATGGTAGACAGAATTGTGAGCCTTTCCCCCCAAAGAAAATGTTAGCTATACCATAACAGATAAAAAAAAATGGTAAGAGATTTACAAGTACATTTTCAACATAAGTTATGTAGCAAGAGTGTTCTCTAAAAGAAATACCACTAATAAATCATTGAGAATTTCAAAAAATGTTTAAGATAGATTTTAGTAAATTAATAACTAAATAATTAAATAAATAACAATGCATCATTCAACTAAAAGATAAATGTGTTCTAAGTTTGGAAATTTATAGAAAGTAATTTTGGAATTCTGACTATTAGTATCAATATTACTAATCAACAAGTTATGATAAAAGAAAGGATTCATAGATCAGAAAAAAAAAGAAACTTTCAATGGACAGCTCACGGAAGAAATACACTTTGAAAATGAAATATTAAGCCAGGTGTAGTGGTACATGACTGTAATCTCAGCACCTAGGCGGCTGAAGCAGGAAGATCCAGAGTTTGAATTTAGCCTGCACTCCATAGTGGAACCTGTGAAGCTAGGGATAGGGGAGAAATGAGAAAAAAAGAGAAGAAAGAGAGGGAGGAGGGAAGAAAAAAGAATGAATGTTCAATGTTGCAAATATTTAAAGAACACAAATATTTAGGCAACTTCATTAGTGTTTTCAGCATTTTTCTCATTGCTGTGACCAAAGACTTAATAAGAAGCAACTGAAAGGAACAGAGTTTGAGGTTGGCCCTCAGTTTGGGTATAATTCATCACAGCATGGAAGATGTAGAAGCAGGAGGGAGGTATCTGGTCCCTGTGCATTCATAGTTAGGAAGCAGAGAGATGAATCCAGTGCTTAGCTTGATGTCTGCTCTTTCCCTCTACATTTGGCCTGGGACCCCAGACCAGGGGATGATGTTATTATACTCAGGATGGTGGCTCCTCAGTTAAAACCTTTCAAGAAACTTCCTTAAGGACATACTCAGAGCTGGCAAGGTGGTGCCTGTAATCCCAGCTCTCGGGGAGGCCAGAGGCAAGTGGATCTCCGTGTTCGGCATCAGCCTGGTCTACAAAGCAAGTCCAGGCAGGACACGCTCAGATATGTCTCTTAAGTGATTTTAAATCCAAGTTGATAGTGAAAACGAGCCATCATAGTAAAAGTCTTTTTTAAAAAGTACATGACTCATTTATGAAAAAAATAATAAATGTGATATACCTTCTTACTTTATTGGTACTAGTATAAATTAATAAAATTGTAGAGATCTTAAAGATAATAAGCTTTATACCTTTGAATAAATAATGCAATTTCTAGACATTTATTGCAAAGATATAAAAAAGAATAAAAAAATAATTGGACAGCACTAAAAAAAAATAGAAAATTAGAATCAGTGAAACCATAACAAATTACTACTTAATTACAATTCGATCAAAAAAAATTGAACATTACATAATTATTAGAATAATATTTTGTTACAATGTGAAAAAGACCCATGATATATATCATGTTAAACTGCCAATGTAATGTTGTAAATTTCATCTTTATTATGTCATAATGATATACATGTAAAACTTTTTAATACATTTTAATTAAGCATACACATTTGTGCCTGTATGTGGGTATGTGCATGTGTGTAGGTGCTCAGGGCAGGCAGGGTGTAAGATCTCGCTGGAGCTGGAGTTGTAGGCCACTGTTAGCTGCCCAGCATGGGTGCTAGAGACCAAATCTCGGAAGAACAGTTCATGTGTTCATGTGCTGAGCCGTCTCTCCAGCCTCCAAGTATTTACATCTTTGTGGGCATAAAACCCTGTCATCACACGGCGCCTACTGACCATGGGATCAAGTACCTGCAGATAGTGCTCCTGCGTCTGTTAGACCCACTTTCAAAAGTGACCTTTCAGCCCACGGGTGTCAGATCACAGCTCCCAAGCGTCCGCAATTTAAATGTGATCTAGCTAGAGAGCTGACTTACTTAAATGTGTGGCTAATGCCAGGGATGAAGTAACACTCTCTTCCTTTGTAGGCGAATCACTTGAAACAATGGATGATGAAAGCTTTGAAGATGAGAGGAATGCTCAGGAAGAGGTAAAAGGAGAGCAGTTTTTTCAAGTTTATTAATCTAAAAGAGTCTGTAATTTATGGAAACTACCAATGCATTTCTCTTATCCTGAAGGACTTTACCTACTAATCATCTTATAGATTTGGGTCCGAAAAGTTTCTCTTTGCCTAGTGTGTAATGGGCATTGTTAATATACTTTCGTGTAAATATTATACAAATGGCTAGCAAGTTCAAGAGATGGCAGGATTTTTTTTTTAATCTTATTAGCATTCAAGCGTCAGCAAGAATGGCCTTGGCTGAAGTCTGAGCACCTCTCACTCTATCATGTGCTGAATTTGGCCAGATCCAAAGGCTGCCGCAACTGCTACAACTACCTCTGCAAATTGCCTAGAATTTTCCGGTCTGAAAGCTGTCTGCCCCTAGAGTCACAGTTCCTGATGAGCACAGAGCACAGTATTAAATAGTCCAATCTCTTCTGTCCTTGGCTAAACTAAATTTCTTAGAAAGTTCCATGCTAGCCTCCCTAGGACTAGAATAAAAAAGAAAACTTTAGTTAGAGAGAGAGAGACTGTAAGGAAGACAGGTAAGGTAAAATACAAGATAAATTCTAGAATGTGCTGATTAGCACATGACCAGTTAATAAATCTTACAGGATACAGCCTCATGACATATCTGTGAGATGAAAAAGGAGCCAGTAAAGCTCCTGTTCTTGTACCTGTTTTTAAAAATGCTGCTTGTCTATCAATTTTTGAAATGGCACCCTTGTAATTCTAGTATGTGAGATGTCGAGGTGGGGAGATAATGACTGTGTGAGATTTGTTTGTTTGTATATATATTTATTCATTTATTTTCAAGCAGATGTGTTGAAAAGGTGGGGCATTTAACAAAAGACAGAAACACCACTAGTAGAATGTGTAGAGAAAACCATCAAGTTGTGTTGTTCAATAGATGTTTTCATTCCCAAGTGTCAGATGTTGGCTCTGTTTGGGGCCTACTCCCTTGTTCCTCCCCTCTATCACTCCCAGAAATGGTTTTCCTTTACTAGACCAGATGACCCCTCAAAGCTTGTTCACAACAACAAGATGGTTGTTCTGATCCTCCAGAATGGAATGCACACAGTGACCACTGCAAAAGTCCCAGGCCTGGCTCTTCTGCTCTACGTTGGGTCTCATACCAGCCCTCCTCTGTCTAGCAAATCCTTGTTCTCTAGTTTCCTTTCCATTGCTGTGATATATTACCCTGACAAACAGCAGCTTGGAAAATAAAGGAATTTATTTCAGCTTATAATTTTACATTGTAATCTATCTTTGACTAGAAGTAAAGGTAAGAACTTCACATCGTACCCACACTTATGAGCAGGATGAAATAAATGTAGACACACTCATCTTCTTTCTCGCTTGCCTGTGCTCAGCTCAACTTCCCTGTCCTGAACAGATCAGGACCCTCTGCCTAAGGAATGGAACTGCCCACACTAGGCTGAGTTCTCCTCATCAAGAAACTCAACTGAGGCAGTGCCACGCAAGCATGTCCACAAGCCAATGTAGACAGCCCCTAGCTGAGACTCCTTTCTAGGATGATTCTAGGGTACATCAGCTTGACAAAGCTAACCATCATACCTTGTTCAAATTTGACTTCTGTTCCCATATCTATTTTTAGACACAAGAAAATGATGAATTGTTGGAAGAGAATATTAACATCTAAGGAGTCTCCTCGAAACAACCTGAAAAGAAGGTTTCATTAGCTGCCTAAGCTTCTCAATATGACCATGAAAACATCTCTGGAGCCAGAGACAGGCCAAAATTCATGTTTCCTTTGTACAGTAGTGTGAATTAAAGCACCTCCCATTAGCCAACCAATTTGCCAAACAGTGGTGTTTCTGCATTTAGATTGGGGGAAAATAACTTTAAAATAAGACTCTAAGACTTATAGATCCCTGGTTTGCTCTCTCTAGTTGACCACTTCACTGACTCCCAGCTCATCGCTTTAGTTCTCATACAACATCCACAGGGAAGGGCAGAGAGAGAACATACTCGTTTTTGCTTCCTGCTTCCTGCTCACCCAGCTTTATTCACTCTCAGTTCAGGGTCCAGCCCATGAGATGGTCCCACTCACATTCAGTCCAGGCCTTTCCACATCAGTTAACAACCAAGACAGTGCCCCACAGACATGCTCACCTAGGCCACCCCTCACTGGAGGGGTGATTCTAAGTCTTGTCATAGGGACATTTAAAACTAACCAGCACTGGGTATATGGTATGTTTCACTATATATTAGTCAGAAACTTGATCATTATAATAACCATGAAAGGTAGGTATATTTATTCACTGTTTGTGAGGAACTAAAGGAAGACCAATTTTGAGTAATTTGCAGAAAATCTCAGAACTTCTAGGTGAAAGAATGGAGACTTGAAAATGAGCTGCTGCGCTGTGCATTCCACCAGTATGACCAACTCTAAATGAATACCTGAAGAGTTAATAAAAATTTAAATGCCCATGTTCAGGACCAAGCCTAGGGAAATCTGAATGTTATGCCAACACCTCACGATGGAGGCAGAAGAGCCAAGTGTCGAAACTCCTGTCACAGATGGGTCTTGAGTACAAGACAATGAGTTCTGATCCTTTTGGGGAGCTTAACCAGCCTTTTCTCAGTGTTATTGACATGAGTATTTTAGGAGGGGGGTAGCCTCATTTTGCAGAGGAAGCAATGGAACTTAGAGAATTCAGACAACTCACTTGGTTTCACATCTTATCGTACCACTACAGAGTTGTGAGCTCAGCTAATCACGTGTCTGCTTCTTATGTTGTCTGCATCCTATTTTGGAAATTAGGCTACTGAAGAGAAGTACACAGCCACAGTTTCAGTGACTGTGGTGTCTGGTTGGAAGCATGGGCTGGTTTGTAAAGAACCTGCTATGTAAGACACCGATGTAGGAAAATGATCCTGTCACAGATGTCTAGATCTCTGTCATACCTAGAGCTGTACAGACCTGAAAAGAATGTGTGAGGCCATCAGCCTGAGGAGGGCATCAGGAACTCTTCTATCCTTACTCACCTACAGAATGCAGGAAAATGGTATTGAGATAACCATGGAATTCTCATGTGAAAAAAAAATGCTAGCTTTTGTGACTCTCAGAAAGGCCACTGGCCCCTTGCAAAACCAACACTTCTTACCTTGTAGCTGACACTTCCACAGCTCAATATAGCCATCTAGTCAAAGTAAAACTGAAGCTTGAAAACTTATAATGGAAATGACTATGAGACAAACTGATTTGCAATCCCTACCCCTAGTGCATCAACTCTAGTCATAAACAGCCAATGTAGACATTTAGAAATGGTTAGGACATAGGTGCGGCCTTGTTCCAGGAGGTGTGTCTCTTACGTAGGTTTTGAGTTTTCAAAATTCAGGCAAAGTCTTTGTTCTACCTGCTGTCTACAGATTTGATCCTAAAAGTTCTCAGCTACTGCTCTGGTGCCATGACTGTTTTCTTCTCGTCATGATGAACCCCTGAAGCTGTAAGCAAGCCCACAATTAAATGCTTTCTTCTGTACAAGTTGCTTTGTTCATGATCTTTTACAGCAATAAAACAGTAACAGTTCCCATCCTTCTGGTTAGCTTTAGATATGACTTCTGTATTACTCAAGATCAAATACAAAAGTATTTTTCCTCTGCTTTGCTCACTGTTGAACCCAAAGTGCTCAGCAGTGCTCAGTAGGCTGTCAACATATGCTTGTTGAAGGGATGAACAAAGGAGTAACCAAACAAGAAATAACCATCATACGAAGATTATCATAAAAACAAAAACAAAGGGGAATAAAAACATGATTGCTCTGCTGGGACTCATGTATGTTTCTGCTGTATTGCAATATAATTTCCATACAGTTATTCCTCCCTTGGTACTATTCTGTAAACAGTGACAGTGGCATAAACATACAACCACTACGCTTAAGACAAAAAACAAAATCCCTTCCTATTTATCAAATAGTGCCATCCTATGTGCACATGAGTGGGGAGCTCCTGGCAAGCACCCCTGCTTTCTGCTTCTGCAGCCTTGCCATGTCCTGAACGTCAAAAGGGTATTATAAGTCTGGGTTTTTTTCACTCAGGTAAGCACATGGAATTATCGTAGTTGTTACAAACTTCAAGAAGTCATTCTTTTCATTGCCAGGCAATATTTCACTGTGTGGACATAACACTTTTTCACCCATTAACTAACTTCAGAGACTATTTCCAGTTTTTGATTGGGGAGGTTGGGATAAAATTTTATATACAGAATCCAGATTCTTAGAGATTATATTTCCAACCTAGAAAATTCCTAAACATGGGATTTCTGGCTTATTTGGGAGGCTTGTTTTAACTGTATTTAAGAGTGCCTTATTGATTTGCACAAAGACTACCATTTTACACCACCTATGAGACCTTCTGTTCTTTCACATCCATTGTCCATACTGAGTATTATCAGCTTCTGACTTTGCTTTTTGACATTGGACATTCTAATAGGTATGAGAAGGTGTTGTGCTATGGTTTTGATTTACACTTTCCTAATAGCTAGCATGTTCCCCACCTTTTTAAACACTCATTTGCCACCCACATAGAATCTTAGGGGAGGAATCTGTTCAAATATTTTCTTTACTTTGTTGCTGAATTTTGTTGTTTGTGTCTAAATGTTTTAAGTATTTTATTTTTGAGATTATAGCATTATATAATTATATATTATTTCTCCCTTCTATTTCCTCCCTCCAAGCCCTCCCATATTTCCTTCCTTGCTCTCTTTCAAATTTATGGGCTCTTTTTCCATTAATTGTTGTCACAAACAGCTATATCTATGTAACACATAAATACATATTCCAAAATAGTTAAGTACAACTTGCTTAGTCAGTGTAATGTTATTGTGTAAATGTTTGTAAGGCTTACTATTTGGGATTGGATAACAGGTGGATGTGCTTTTCCCTTGGAAAGACTATTTCTTCCACTTTCAGCACTCCTTAGTCGCCTGTAGTCCTTTGTGTGGGGTTAAGACCTTGTGCGCTCTCCCCTGTCCATGTTAGCATGTCTGTTGCTGTCCTTGTTCAGTTCATGTTTTGGAAGTCAAATTGGTAAGAATGCATGGAAGAAATTTATGGTAAGAAACTATATGCAGCTTCTGACAACCCAGGAGACACAATCTCACAGCAAACTCTCTGATCCTCTGGCTTTGAAGATCTTCCCACACCCTTTCCAGGAATGATCCCTGAGCCTCAGGGGCAGGAGTTGTCTTGTGCATGTACCCCTTGATGGAATTGGGCTCCACAACTCTGCATTTTGTTTGGTTGCAGTTTTCTGTTACAAAGAGAAATGTCCTAGAGGAGGGGTGAGAAATGTATTTTTCTGAGGATATAAGGATAAATATTTAGTCTGTAGCTAGGGATTATGCTGGTTTTGTAAAGTAGCAGCTAGAGGTTCTCTTCTAAAATCTGTGACTTCCCTAGTTCTTGGGAGTTGGCTAAGTTTCCAGTACTGGGCATGATTTCCCTCTTGTTGAGTGGATCTTAAGTCTAGTTAAAGAAGTATTGGTTAACACCAAGGTTCATGTACCACTACCGCACTCTTAGAATTATTGTGCCCCGCTGGCCCTCATTGTGATTCATGGGCATCATATCTAGGTAGGGCTGTTGGTTTCCTCCCTCCTTTGAAAGTTTGCATGGTGCCTTCTGTACCATAAAAGCTAGTCTTTAGGGAGGCAGCATTCAGTTCCAGTTCCAGTTCCAGTTCCAGGAGCATCTGGGCCCTCTGAAGTTCAAGGTGTCTTCAGCAATAGGGACTCACCTTCCACCGTTAGGGGGCAGCCAAGGGCAATAGCGGTAAAGCCCTATGCTTGGGGCGTTTCTTTGACAGCCCTGACCAACACCCCAAAAGAAGGCTTCTCATGTGCGGTGCTGCAACTGTTCTTAGATGATCTTTGGCTCTTAACGGGAACGGTGTCAGCCCTGATAGGAAATTTTTATTTAAACTAATATATGTATATTTTATACACAGACACAGACTTATATAATTATAGGTATTTTTAGGTGGTGAACTAGTTATTTTCACACATCCTGGCAGTTCTTTTACCTTTTTCTCTGCTTTTGTGAATTTACACACACACACTATTTAGAGTGCTTCCATTTTTCCCCATTTCCCATATAAAATCACTCGTGCCCTTCTGTTCTCCTCTTTATTGTTCCCCCAACTTTACCCAGGAATAGTCCCTTTCAACTTTCCTGGTTTCTGCAGTTACCCCAGTATACGTCCTTGTGAACAAATTTTGAAAGACTACATATTTGCAGGTAAACTGTGTCTTGATTCTGGTTTTGTTTTTATTGTTGTTCGTTTGTTTTGTGGATTTGTAATTTGTTTTCTTACTTCTAAACAAAGGTCCCCCTTATTTAACTTTCCTAAAACATTGATTTAATAAATGGAGGTGTCTGCCAAAGAAAATCACCCTTAGCCCCTCTGTGGTGACAAGTCTGGGACTCCCAGGGACGCTAAAGCTCTCCCTGACCGGTGGTTTCTGGTTTGCTTAATAGCCTGGTGCATGTGCCTCTCATAGTCCCCCCCCCCCCCCCCCCCCTCCTCCTCCTCCTCCTCCTCCTCCTCCTCCTCCTCCTCCTCCTCCTCCTCCTCCTCCCCCTCCCCCCGCCCCCGGCAGGCACCGCCTCCCTTTAGGGCTCTCTGAACAGGTGGCCA